GTTCATTATTTTCAATAAATTTGATGCATATTTCAGGCATCTGGAAAGATTTGCTTATTGCAACTAGTAGAACAAATTCCAAAAGTTTGAACGGGAAAACCTAGAACACTCTGTATATATCTATACATTTATAAGTAGCTCTGCTTTCCTCCTTCGAGATTTTGCAATATTCGTAACGAACAATCCCATTGCGTTCATTATTGGTATATACATGCAACCGTTTAGTAATAAATACTTAGAATCATTCGATCCAACTCGATGACATGTTTTATGCTACGTATTATGAAATATTTCGATTACTCAAAATATTTCTAATAGGTATGATATATATATATATAACTCTTGAGCAATGAATTCGATGCCTTTTTAAAATATATTTGACATTTATTTGTGGTACCTAATTAAAAAAATAGTAACATAATAATTTAACAAATGTATTCTAATATATTACTATTATAAATTAAGTGTAAATTCAATTCAATTAATTAATAAATATATTAGAAACTTTTTTCTATATAATTTTTTTGTTCATGTATAGAAACATAATAACATTAAATTATAAAGAATAAAGTATGAATATTAAAATATATAATAAAAATTGAGAAGAGGAAAAGAAAAGAATTATGTGTGTGTAGAAATTTTGTTAAACATAATTATGTTCTATTAAACAAGACAATACAAAGCCACAATCATCGAATGATTCTATTCTAAGAAATGTTTAAATATATTATCAATTTATTCGTATAGAGAGAAACTAACCACATGTATCCACTAGTCATATCCTGTATTCTGTTTGTGACGATTCATCGTTAAAGTCTTTCTTCCGGTTTCGATATTATCGTAACATCTTTCAACGTATTCCTCTCTCTTGACGCACTTGCTGACTCGACACAATGAGAGCATTGTTGTGTTGGTCGTTTCAACAAATTTTTATTTGATATTTTTTCGTCTTTATTTAGAACCTTAGAGAACCTTAAGATGAAAAATCAACGAAAAAATATATATAACAAGAGTATCATTATGTATACCCGTCAAAACTTGTATCTATATCTGTGTTTATGAAAGTATTCACGTCATAAGAAGACGAAGAAAAACCATCATCTTTGATACGTAGGACATATGAACAGATAAAAAGTGGGAGAGAGATAGAGATAGAAAAGGAAAGAGAGAGAGAGAGAGAGAGAGAGAGAGAGAGAGAGAGAGAGAGAAGGAAAGAAGAAGATACGAAATTAACCGGAACGAAAAAATGACAAGTTATACAAGAAGTACCACGAATTAACATAAATTCATGATATTATTGTTTAAAAACGTTGCTTGTTGTTATAGAATTATACGTAGAAATCGTATAAGTTCTTAGAAAAATAAAAAGATATAAAGATTAAGTAATAATAAAAGAATATAATTGAACGACAAAATGTGAAATGTTCTGTATTGCAAAATAATTCCTATAGCTGTCACTAAACTTTCGTATTTTGACGGATATGAAACGTATTATATCTCGTTGTAGGTGTCTTATTGCATTGACGTAAAGAAATACGAGGAGTATGATATACGGTATTAAACGTATCGAGTTTTTGAACTTATGTAAATTAAAGTAATAAAAATATTCATGAATTAGGATTAAATAATCTTGTAGGTTTCGTATTTTAACTAAGCTACCCCGTAAATAAATGAATAAATTTGAATGTACCTTTTTTATGTTATTTTGCGAAATGATTTGCTAAACTAAAAATAATACAAAGATACATTTGTTTCAAAATGACACATGTATTTTAGTTTTAAACAATCCTAAATATTAGTAGAATATATTAGAGAGTATTCGAGATTTATCTTATAATTGATTGTTAATTAATCCATTTAAATGTATACTGTAATCGAGAAGCACGGAGTATATGATCTATGTACCATCCTCTTCGAAATTCACTGTTGAACTGGGTCATTATCCTCTGTTAAAGTTTTTTTATTGAATGTTGTTTATATGGCTTTCCGAAAAAGGAAATGGTATTTTGTTACGAATATTATACGCGTTATACACATGCACATCTTTCGGAAAGTCATATAAACAATTTTCGATAAAAGAACTGTCATAGAGAACAACGTACCAGTCTAACGGGGAATTTCGAGGAGGATAGTGCACCGAACATATAGATATACATTGTTTTCGATTAATTAACAATTATCTTTTATATATATATATATATGTATATAAAAATACCAATTTGTTCTTATTACAATAATTTCTTTTTAAAGTTATTTTTTTATAGCTTCGATATTCGACGATCAAATCTACAACACACTTCATTCCATAGAATCACGAAGTTGCTATCATCTTGTGTGTTACGTAATAGGCAAGTAATTATACATATATATATATATGCACACGTACCTTTACGTGCATGTTCAGTTCCGGTCGGAATTTATCCGGTTAATTTTTTATATGTATCCAACTCATTCTTATTCCTATCGTCGTGATGATTGTCATCATCTAGGATGAAATTCGTAATAGTTCGATATATACATATTCCAATATTTCTATGACTCACATTGTATATAGTACATATTATTTAAGTATTCAAATGTTGGGAATATAAAATGATTGAAAAAGATGATATAAACGTATAAATTTTAAGAGTAATTATATATATATATAAATATATAATTAAAAAGAATGTCATTTGATACGTTTCTTTTTTTAAAAGCACTTGAATTTCTTTTGGAACAAAATCGTTGATACGCAATCGATCAAACGCAATGAATCATCATTGATTGATATACGAAAAAATAACAAGTTTATAGAATGAATTTTATACGAGGAAGCCTTCGACGGCTGTGTTAGTTTGAACAAAATTCCATGAGCCATTGATGTGAGTAATTCCTTCTTTCGTTTATTTTAAACGTTCCCTCTCTGTATTCGCGTAACACGTGAAAATGATACAGACAAAACGCACCTGTACAACCTAATTCTTTAACATTCCGTTATCGTAAAAGGTTCTTTCCAAATTCATGTCGATGCAATATTTTATACTTGCATTGCTTTTGAATACTTAAATAATATGTATTATATATTTTCACAATACACCATTTGGAAAATATATAAAATTAATTCAATATATTATTATTTATAATCACTTGTATATTATTTCTTAAAATAAGAAAACATAATTGAAACATTTTAAACGAACGGTAATACTTTCTCAGACGTTCTCTTACGTCAGTAAATTAGAAAATATGAAAAAACATAAGACGCAACATATAAATTCCGTTTCTGACCTGAATTTAATATGAAAGAGAAAAATAAAGAGAGAGAAAGAGGGAGAGGGAAATAAAATGGTAGGAAGAGAAATATTATTCGGTATGATGTAATATATACTTATCAGAAATTCTTGTTTCACAAGCAACAAGATTGTACTGTGGTACGTTTATCTAATTATAAAACAGTACTTTTCGCGCAAATACTTCTTTTTTCTTTTTTTCTTTTTTTTTTAAAGAAGCCATGTATGTGTGTTTTGGAAAAAAAATTATTCAAATATACCAGACTTATTTGATAAGAATAAATAGAGAGGTACCGATGATATCTTAATTCCTATTTGTAGTCATAATGACGAAATTTTGTAATGATCCCCGCAGAGAGGAGTTGTATGCCTCACTGCTTAAAAACTATTGATCATAAAACGAAAAAAAGGGAGTGATTCAGTATCTTGAACGATTAATCAACGTATAAAAATAAATTACTTTGTATTTTGACGATAAGATATACGAATAAGTGTATATATATATATACATGAGCATTAAATTGTATTATTCAGTTAAACAGGTCAGTATAACTAGTCATTTCATGAATTAACGAATTTCACAAAGTAACGTCAGCATATATATAAATAAATGAGAACATAAATTGAGGAATTCGATCGTTTACTTGATTTCAATTGCTCTTTTACAAAGTATAAAAATAATACCAGTATTCCAATATCAACTTGTATAAAATAAAAATAAAAAAATAAAATGCAATTTCTTTTTAGGAATACGATTAAAATCAACCGGCGCTTACAAGTTGTTCGGTCATTAGAAACTATCCAATGATTGGTTATTGCAT